CACCCACACCCTCCCACAGCCCCCACCCCAACCACATACCCCACACCACATCACACATACACCCCAGCCACCCACACACCCACTCCCCAGCCACATACCCCCAAAAAAAACCCATAATAAAAACTCCCAGCCAACTAAAACCACATATTTTGAAAGAGCCACAATAGCTTTTGTCATTTTAAATTTCAAGTAATATTTAGTCAATAGTATATTTCTGATCTTAAAATTATTTTATTACAGTGGGGAAAAGGTAGTAAAGGGAAGGTTTATATGGCATACTGAATTTGCCTTTGAACAGGCCAGCAAGCCACAAAACTGTTGGGAGTAAATTTTCACATCTTAGAAGCTAGGGTGCTTTTTGTTTCAATTCAGTCATACACATTAGTCTCGTCTACATAGTGATGTTAGACAGAAGTTGTTGGTTTGTTCTAGATGCATAAGATTAACTGTAGCAGACTGAAGTGTGTCCATACCACTTTGTTATGGTAATGTCCTCGTTAACTATTGTGCTCACCCACTTCGGCATTAGTTCAAACTCATCACTCAGCATTCTGGGCATATATTCCCTCGTGCACAGTTCCACAGCTCTGCTCTAATTTTTCATGCAGTGCATTTTGGGATGCACAATGGAGCTCTAAGAATCCTGGGACCTGGAGGTCAAACTCACAACTTCCCATGATTTTTCTGGAATCCATTAATTTTGCCAGTGCCACTTCTGAATTGGTCTCAGGAAGTATGAAGGACTCAGTACTGAGCACTGCAATCAGTGCTTAACAGGAACAGTATAATGTGTGTGCATTTGGATGTGGGCAAATGGATCTGACCTGTTGCTTCTCAGGGCCACTGATGTCTTGGCAACATGACTAATGGAAAAGGAGCAAGAGAATGACATTGAAAATTTACTTGTGCAGAAAGCATTTACCTGAAGCACCTTTACATGGCGGAGTACCACATCTGGCTCCAGGCATCTGGTTTCAGGCAATTAGCAGTGACTGGAAAGACAGGGTAGTAATGGGGGACAGGACTGACTAGCAGTGCAGGCAGAACTTCAGGATGGCAAAGACAACTTTCTTACAAATCGATACTGAGCATACCCTGGAGCTACAGCTGCAAGACTAACCTAGAATTCTTGTCAAATTGGAACAACTTGTTGCCATCACCATCCAGAAGTTCATCATTCCTAACAACTGGTTTCCAACCAGTACTCTGCTTGTTGTTGGCAGAACCGTCAAGGCTGCTAGCTAGGAGACCACTGACGGCTCCGAAGGGACAGAGTCCCCAATTTGTACTGGAGTTATGGTTACAGTAACGTTGACGTACTGTTGACCTCAATCAGTCATGGGGGTGAGGATTGGGAAGGACGATGGTGCTCTCATGCATCGTTGTTCTGTGGAAGTGTTATCACTGTTCATGCGGGGTGGTTTGGCAAGGTCCATGATGCAAGAATATTTAGGAAGTTAGGTTCTTTGGTAGAATGAACAAGGAAATATTTGTTCCTTGGAACCCAGAGGATATATGGAGTTAGATGCCTCCTCTCTTTCAGGTAGACCAAACCTTTTAGTCAACACTTGATGTGAGAAAGGAGTGGCTGAACTTTACCTACAGTTGCACAACAGCAGTGGAGTGTGCTTCTGGAAGGATGAAGGGGAGGTTGTGTATCAGCCCTCTCCCCTTGCTCCATGGAAGGATCAACTATACTTAAACCCGAATCTGCCAGATATCTGTCTAACCTTCTCTTAAAAACTTCCACCAATAAGAGATTTTAGATTTCCAACATATCCTTTGGTAAACTAATCCAGTATTTAGAAAGCCTTACAGTTAGAAAGTTACTTCTCGTGTCTAACCTAAGTCTCCCTTATTGTAGTTCAAGCCCATCACTTCTTGTCCCAATCTTCATGGACACAGAACACAGTTTACAACCTTCCATTTTGCAGCAATTTTTTTACATATATTAAGACTTTTATCATTTCTCTGAGTCACAAGAATCCTATTTAATGTGAGAACTGGGAGGATCTGTGCACTGCTGTTTACCACGAGGTTTTCTCCCAAGTTGGACTAGACTAGAAGGGAAAACATTAGCTATATGTACAGACCCACTAGAGCTCCTTTGCCTTGCAATGTTTGTGCCAGAATGGAACGTTCTCCTTGGCTGAAGTTCTCTTCTCTGATTCCTTCAGATCAGCATAAAGTGCACTGCCAAATTAAAAGAACTCGGCAGTAAATGTTCTAAATTCAAGGCATTACAATACCTTTCAATACCTATGTATTTTGAAATGCCATACATTTGGTGGCGTTTACTTCAAGAAATTTAACTTTGGTAAAAGTTGAGTGCATCCATTTTTTTCTTCTTGCATTTAAAGCCATCATGAGTATTCACATGCAATTAATTTTTTTTTTAATTTCTGCTACTGACATCTTCAACAGGAGCGCAGGAATGCCAGAGTGGTGAGAGGTCCACATTAGGTGGAGGGAATCAAAAGGAGACTGATCAGCGAGTAGTTTGAAAAGGAGGCAGCAAGTGTGGGCGACATTTGTGGAGTCTGACTTGACCCAGAAATAAAACTTAATGGAATCCTCCACATCAGATGTACAAAAGCTTGATAACTGGGCGGAGTGGGGGAGGAGGGGGAGAAGAGAAAGGAAGTCAGTAAGGAAAGACTATGGATGTAGAGTATGTGTGGAACTACATAATGAAGAGAAAACTTGATAAATGTAATATATCCCCCCAGCACAGATGTCACATAGATAGGGCCTGATTTAAATTGTAATTTTGCATTTTTCATGAAAAATCACAAAATTAAGTGATTTTCAAAAAAAAAAAAAAAAAAAA